CCTACATTTGTACATTCACTAGCTTTGCGCGAAAGCTTTTGCAACGTGTAGCAGATATCACACCTGCTTACGGATGCGGCTCCCTCATGTTTCCTCGTTGGAGGCCTGTTTTTCTCTTTTTTTTTTTTCATGCATGAAAAACTTCCTAAGAGACAGAAGCTTTTCATAAGCTTTTCCAACGCTTTCGGATCTTCTTGTAGAGGTGTCATGAGATACAGTTATGCTGACTCTTTGCATACTGCCCCGTCCCTGCACTTGACAGGGTTAGGGAATGCTGATTTTTTTTGTTTTTTGAATCCCTCTCGGTTTTTGACTAGTCTGATTGCTGTTTTGCTTCTGGACCAAGGAATACTGTTAACTGTTTTGATTGTTGAATATAAGGAATAGGCAGTAGCTTTAGCGATACTCATTTCTGGTTGAGTTTTGTTTGGTGTCTGCAGCCCAGCCTTGCACCCGGCCGGAGTAGCAGGGAGCTAGCTTGTGGCTGTTACTATTTCGTAAGGGACGTCGGGCCCATTTCCCGACATTGTTAAAAAGACAACCTTTAAACCACTAGTACCTGTGTCACTGTTGGGAGATTAAGGAAACTGGCAGTTTTTCCATTTTCCCCGCAGACTTCGGACGTCAGGTAGGTTCGGCAAATGCAAAAATTTTCCCAAAAAAAAACAAAAAAAAACGGGAAAAGGCGGGTCTCGGTCCATTTCCAGTCCAACGTAGGCAGGCCGGAAGTGGAAACGGTACCGGCAGCAGTGTGGCGGGCCACCGTCGGACCAACAGTCGTCCGTGGCTGGTTTTCGGAGGCAGCGACCGCGCGGACGGGCGACCGGTACCCGTGCAAATCCGACGTGCGGCCTGAAGCAAACTTCCGGCCACTGCGACGACGGTGAGCGCCACCGCCATCGCCCTTACACCTCTCTCTCTCTCTCTCTCTCTCTCTCTCTCTCTCTCTCTCTCTCTCTCTCTCTCCCCGACCTTGCCGGCTCTGGCCGCCGTCCGCTACGGCGGAATCTCTCTCTCTCTCTCTCTCTCTCTCTCTCTCTCTCTCTCTCTCTCTCTCTCTCTCTCTCTCTCTCTCTCTCTCTCTCTCTCTCTCTCT